TAATAAGCTCGATGTAAATTCCGGCGTTAATGGGACAAGATGTATGATGATCCGACTCTTTTTGAGAATATCTCTGTTTGTAGGACAAAAGTGCTACAATGAAAGTTGCTTAGGGTTAAGTAATAAAGGAATAAGTATTATTTCGATGCAATTATGCTGTTTGCGATTCGACATGTCATTCACGCTGGATCATCTGTCCGTACTTTGACGACGTCTCAAGTCACCACGTTTTTAGCCTTTCTTTATTGATTTTTTTAACAGTTAATCTTTTGCCTGCGTTATCACATATATTCGAACATTTGTCGTTTATGGGAGTGAAAATTACCATCGGTGCGAGATACGAAGAGCACACGCCGTTTCGACATATGCGCCCGTTGTGCAAGTGTTGACCAAAAGGAAATAGAAAGTAATCCGAAGCCTGCTCCCGCGTCCGTTAACAATGAAAGTAACTTGTTAACTTGTCTCGGTCTAAAGACACTTGTTGGCCTAGATCAAGAGCGAACCCTCGACAAATTCCACGGGACTACCGTGGAAAAATGAACGCCAATGTGACAAAACGTAACAGTTTAAAAATTATTTTGAAATTCATCATTACTGCACTGGACTAATTCTAAGTTGACGTGACCTTTATACTGATTGATGGTTGATTTGAGGTCATGGACCTGAGGACCTACTAGTAAAAGTAAGGGCTTACTTCCATTGGCAAATAGAGAATTTCTGCCCATCAACATTTACAATAGTAGTAAATTTTCCGGAATTTGATGTGTTGTGTTTTACTTACTTTTTACGTGTGTATGTATACTAGCCAGGGTGGGCGACCAAGACCCGAGGGGTTAAAAGCCTGGGTAGACTCGTACCACATCCCTAAAAGGTCCGGGACTTGGTCGGCTCATGTGTCCTGCATAAATCTCTTGGTCCTATTCACAAACCCCAAGATTTTGGACCATTTAATCTCGGGGAGTGATTTAGTGATGTCCTCTCCTTTAAAGATTTCAAATCTAGACCTAACATACCTATCACAATCTGCGAGGTAGTGCCTTCCCGTTTCTTCTTTTATTTCGCAAAAACGGCTAAAGGGATCTGGTAGAATACCCAAAGGGAGAAGTGTCTTCTCAGTGGGCAGTGGCCTCTCAGGATACCTATCATCCTCCTAATTCCTTTCGTTGAGTTAGAGAATAGCCATTTCGATTCTGCTGGTTTGATCACCTTAACAAACTCCTTCGATTGCCTGTGTCCGGGGGATAGATCCCACTCCTTAAGGAATTGTTTCATACCCCAGTTTTTAATACTCTTTTTTGCTGTGCTCATAGAGTGAGGTAATACCGGTTGTGGACAAAGTATTAGAGCCTTCTTTGGCCAGGCTATCCGCCTCTTCATTGCCACGGTGTCCTTTATGTGCTGGTATCCAAATAAAGGTTACCTTGTTCTCAAACCTGGAAGAGATTCTATTGATAAGATCTACTGTTTCCTCCACAATTCTAGATGTTGACAAATCTTTTTGAAATGATCTAAGTCTAGCCTGACAATTTTTAGACGGTTGAGGTGATCCATGAAATTATCTTTCACTTGTGTTTTGTGGGTGTGAAACGGAAATTGCTCTTAGCAAAGCTAATCGGGCTTTAAGCCTAACTAACACGTCATAGATAACAGTGCTTCGTTGAGTCTTTGTACACCTGGTTTGCTTAGTCTCGCTGTTCGTCTGACTCGTTTTGTAATTTTGCAGCTTTGGGTAGAAATCTGGGTATATCCACATTAACAGATCAGAATGTTCTTATTTAGAAAATGTATAAGCTTAATAAAATAATGGCTATCTTCCGGGAATGTATTCCTAGCGTTTTTATTTCTCTGGCGCAATCGCGTAAAGATCGCCATTTCAATTTATCATATATTTAACAGAAAAAATATTACAAAAAATATAATTTTAGGAAAGAGTGGAATCCTTGAGTAGAAACAACTTCCTCCTTGACTTAATTTATTTACTGAATATTTAAAAGAAAAAAAAATTAAATTTTTTTAGGGAAGTGTAAAATACTTTGATATAGTTAGTGAAATCTATTTATTTTTTTATTTTATTTTTACTATAAATTCCTATGATAAATAGCCAAAGAATTTAAACGAATCTCTTCCTTGTTGTGTTCTTTTTACAATTTACCAAATATTTAACAAAAAAAAATAATTGAAAAAAAATTAATTTTAGGAAAGAGTAGATTCCTTTGACATAGTTAGTGGAACTTAATTTTTTTAAACATAAATTCCCATGTTATACAGCCAAAGAGTATTAACTAATCCTCTCGTCGTTATGTTCTTTTTACAATTTACCGTATATTTAACGAGAAAAACTAATAAAAAAATTAAGTTTAAGAAAGAGCAGAATCCTTTGATATAGTATGGGAATTTATTTATTTACGATAAATTCCCAAGATAGACAACTAACTCGTTTTAACAAACCTCTTCGTTGTTGTATTCCTTTTCCAATTTGCAAAATAATTACTAGGGAAAAAAATTCATTAAAAAATTTAATTTTAGGAAAGTGTAGAATCCTTTGATATAGTGAAGATGGATTTATTTATTTTCTACTATAGATTGCCATGAAACTGGAGGTTAAAATTCATGATACTATGTCAAACTACAAGGATAACAGGTCCAAAACAAACCAAACTATAAAAATACTACGAAAAAGTCAATTTCAAACCACTAGTAACACTTATTCACAGTAGGAACGCAAGTGTCACCTCACAGAGGCGTGACCAACGCGCCAATAATGCCCAAAACTCTAATCTGGAATGGTCTAAGTTTTTAAATGTGTTTTCTTGGTCAGCTTTAAAACAATTCACAAAATGTAAACAGTAAATACTTTCGTTATTCTTTCGTCACAACCTAATAATTACGACTTTCTTAAAAATTAGAACCGTTTTGTATGTTTATGTTAGTGAATTATTTTCAACCGGTTTTTTATATGTGTTATATATGGGCTCGAATGTATGTCATTAAATAATTCAAATTCTTTTTATTGACTTAATTTGGAGGTAACAATATTTTATAATCTAGGTTCTTGTTAATTTTTGCGAACTAAAACGCCAATTATTCTTTAGGCCATATATTTCAATCTCTCTTCAAAACTTTTATTTTAGCTAAATAAAATTGCAGACTTTTGGACGGATAGATGATGATTAAAATAATAGCTTTGAAGAGGGGCCAGGGGCATGGCCCGAAGTGCATAGCGATTGAAATGTATGGCATATAGAATAATTGGCGTTTTAGTTCGCGAAAATAACTAAAAACCTAGATTATAAAATAGTTAATTAATTTGTGTTAGTAAGAGTTAGAAAAAAAAAGGTCGGTCGTCGAATAAGGACCGGTAGAACGAAAAAGAGAAATTAACGGAAAGATCTCTCGGCCCGTGCGTGAATAATTCATCGGCCAATTTTCTCCCAGGGAGAATTTTTTATAATTCGAGGATGTTAAACGAAAACGCGATGTCTCCGGTCCAAAAAAGGTACGGTACGCCGCGCAGTACGGAGGCGGGTTCGTTCAACCGGCTAGGCTATCTTTCCCCGGCTTTCACGGATGGACATCGTTGTCTGGCACGCGTCGGGGGGGAACCGCAGCAACCTTCGTCTCACGACATCGATCAGCACAACCGTCGTTCACTTGTGAGAAACTGGAAGTTGAAGAAGTTCAAGAACAACCTTGGATGGCAAGACGAGCCAAGGAGAAATTTGACCAACGCATAACTACCTTTATTAATTTTTACACCTCACAGGATGACCAAGAAGTAGAAAGTCTTCAAACTTTTTACACCTATTTGAAGATTTTATCATAATGACTACCTTTTGGCCGGTGGTGATGAATAATAGCTCTTTTCGCTGCGGTCTATAATCGTTTACTCCTTTTCATAATATTCACGTATGAACCACGCCAGTAAATATTTGACATACAAGCTAAAAAAATATGTCAAATTTACATAAGAACCCTCTACTGAACCGAAACTTGTTTGGACTTCTAACCATAATTGACCTCGTTTAGTTGTTCACAAATGAACTTATATTGTTCAACAGTGATTAATTCATTGTTTTGAATCTTCAAAAGCAGTCAAAAGATTGTATTATCGGGATAGTCATTCAAGTAGTATAACGCACAGGTTTTTTCTATTTTGTGTGGCTGTTTGCTCAAAATCTTCCCGTGTGTTAGTCTCTCTTACTCCCTTTCTTCCCCACTTCGTATCCATTCTATTATTTCTATTTGTTTGCCTTAACTCCCTCTCTCTTTCACTCCCTTCTTTCCTTTCCTTTTAGAACCTTCTCATTGTCTAATGGATATTTTCCTCACCTCTTTCTCCGCTTTTACATCACCCTCTCTCTCTCTCTCTCTCTCTCTCTCTCTCTCTCTCTCTCTCTCTTTTTTTCCTTTCTTTCTATCTCTCTGTCTCTATTTCTCTCTCTCGCTCTCTCTCTCTTTCTCTCTCTCACTCTCTCTCTTTCTTTCTTTCTCTCTCTCTCTCTCTCCCCCTCCCCCTCCCCCTCCCCATCCCTCCATCTCTCCCTCAGATTTTCTTTGGAATCCAACTGATTGTGAAGAATCGATGGTACCGACGCCCAATTCGTTTCGAACCTGTTCTTGGCATGAAATTTCGGTTCGAATTATCCTGCAGTCCTACTTTCCCATTCGTCGGTGTCTAAGTTAAATTGATTTTCTGAAAGACCACGTCGGCATGCAAATGCACGTGCGATTGAGGCAACTAACACCCGTCGGTCATTTTCCCTTCGGTTGTAAAAATGTGAAGGTATAACCTTAATTCCATCGGATATCTTTTCTCGTGAAATTAACTTGAAATTAAGACGAGCGGGATTTCGAAATTTTAATTTTATCCCTTACACGAAATCTATTAACTCGTGCACAAAAGAGTTACGACATTCACTTCGTGTAAACGACGGTTCGGCTGATCGTAGGTTGTCTGGATGTTGCGGTGAAAATTTAAACAAAACGTATTTCGTGCGCAGTGGAAAAGGGAATTTCTGCGATCCAGGGCCTGATGGAAGGAATGGTCCGAGTTCCCGGTTCCCCGCAGAGGGTCGGGGCCCAGGTCAGGGGTTCCTGGAGAGACTACCTGGAAGACACCGACTGGTGGCGGGAGTGCAGGGACAGCGACGAGTTCGAACCTTTCAGCGACGACGAGGAGATGGTCGGCCTCGACTTGGCCCTCTTCGAACCGGCGCCGTCCGGCGACTCGAAAGAAGACGACGACTGCTGTTCCCTCTGCTGCTCCGACTGCTACTATTACCTTCCTCCGCCTCCCCCTCCGAACATGTACATCGCGAACGTCGAGACGTGGGACGAGAATCACAATGGTAAGTCTTACCAAAATTATTTCAAATTATCAACATCCTTGAGTATGCTAGTAGGCGCAGATGTAGAATCTGCCGATAAAGAGTGGGATATAGAAGATTTTCCCCCCTCTTCACTCAACCTAAAATAATAACTACTATAACGCTCAGCTCATATTAATGTAAATAATCATCGATAAATATAAAAGTATAGTAAAATCTTTTCTTCAAGTGATGACCTCCTTTATATAATATCAGAAATTGCCGTTACAGTTATTGCGACATTTAAACCTCTCATTATTTTCATTGGTCAGGACAGATTGAACAGATTTCACAACTCTAGGCCTAGCTCGAGAGTACAATGTGATTGACTTGGTCAGTCCAACTATAAAAACTATTTTGGTTTCGATAACAAGGTTATAATACTACCAGCGATACAAAGCAGGCCCAATTATTATCCGATCAGTAATGATTTTTTTTTTTTTTGGGGGGGGGGTTAAATTACAGGAAGAACGGTTTTTGATAATTAAACGTACGTATAAACCTGTTGGAGGAGGGTTTTCACGTAAGTCCCACTTTCCGTATGTTATATTCACTCACGTTTACGGCCTATATTTGAACTAAGCCGAGGCTTTCAATACTTTAAAAAATAGGTTATTTTCTATTCAATGCAACGTGCTAATGTTAGGTTAAGTTAGGTACAGGAAGTTCATCTATGTTATATTTTTATGATAGATAATCAGCCTGTTACAACCATAATATAATATTTGCAGAACAGTCTAATTAATCTGAATAGTTCTATAATTAATTTGATTTGTGATCCGCCACTGAACAGAACCGTGTTTTAGCCATCTCTCGAGCGGAGACATTGTCCGACGATTCCCGTTCCCAGACGTCGCTCAAGCGTTACACCGGGGTGGTGAAAACAACTTCCTCATTCTTCAGAACAACTTGAACAATTGGTTCTTTTAGATCAAACACGGCACTGCTTACTCATCCGTCGACTCTTCCCTGCGACCTCTCCCAACCCTTGGTTACAAGGGGGTGTACGGGCGCAAAACACTGATGTATCCCTGAGGGCGTGGCAACCTCTCTAAAGCACAAGCTGTACTCGTGTCGGCCTCGAGTCGGCATGGAGCGGCGGGTGCTTTATCAGAGTCCAGATCCTGTCTGCATAGAGGGGGGAGGGTGCATAACCATCTGCACTACGGGGTAACACAAATGTTCCAAGGTTCAGCCCCTGTTATACTGGGAATGGACTCGGAGTTGGCCGTGGCGACACTCCTGGCAGGTACCTGGAGAAAGGCTGTCTTCTATCTGTGACCTTCGCACGAAACTTGTGTATGACCATCGTTATTCACCCGGCCTCACGGGATACGACGGATCGGACCGAAGCGTATAAACGTTGAGGACGCTATGATTACGCTGACAGAGTCCCTCGAATGCGTGAGTAGTGGCGGATGGAAGTGATTAGTAAATCGGTTGCTCCTATTCGAGTATGCTTTGCACGCAGGTGTAGGCTGAGTTCGATTGGCGGCTTTTACCGTAGTCAGTTTCCTCTAGGGCGTGGTTAGCAATTCCACTTTAACCAAAACCGCGGCCGGAGCGGATCCGGAAGTTTCTACGCTGGGGAAGCCTCAATACTCTGGGAGATAGACTGGCCTTCTCTATCTAGGGAGTGCGCAGGAGACCAAGCTGATGTATTTCGGCTTAGGTAGCCCTTTGCGCGCGGCATACGGTTCGATGTTTAATGCGGATCCGACCACTCGGAACGAGCAAGCGGGGAGCGATGTTGTCTTGGCCCCTCGGGGCTGAGCTGCCGGAGCTGAGGAGGTGCGTCAGCTCTAATCTCAAGAATCAAAACATCCGATAAGGCCGGAAGGCTAGGTGAGGACGTTAAAGATCCTCATTGTCCTTTTAAGGACGACCGAGTGAGTATACGGGAAAGCAATGTCTACTTTGGAAGTTAAATGATCACACTAGTTATTCAGAAATCGTAAGATGCGGTCTGATGTCTAGATCACACTAGATTTAACCGAAATTGAACATAACACGTTGCAATAATCGTCAAATATCAAAATCATTCGATTATTCTAGTGCAAACCATCACAAAAAAATCATCTATGCCCTTACTTCATTCTCAAAAATAATCTTCCAGTTTGTCTTAATGCTGTTAAATTTTAAATACCCCAAATAAATTCGAAATAAATCATTGTTTGGCGTCTGAAAACCAAGAATATCCGATGATGTCTGCACTGGCTTATATTCCCTCGACCTACTGGACAATTATAGCAATTTAGCAATAAACAATTTATTCTCAATTTGAAAGAACTATTAAGGTCATAAAAGCACAGGCAATCGAGGCAAGAACAGAAAAATACACAAATCTAAAAAATCAAGCAATCAGACAAATAAAACTTCTGTATCTTCCTGGAAACGCAAGTCATCGATCCAGAGACAAGTATTAGTTTCAATTTACAATCCATTAAGCTTAACAAGCCTTAAGCGGGCTTTTATTTACGATATTATCCAATAAAAAGGGAAAAATATCCTATCAAAGACAGCAAATAGAGCCGGCCCAGCCCGATGCGTCTGGGACTCTTTTTCTCAGGGTTCAAGTGGGTTCAAAGCGTCAAATCAAAGCCCGTCTCGAGTGTCCACTTCATTGAGATGTATAGCTGATGGATTTCCTCATTATGAGGCTCCTTCCATCTGCCGAGGCACGAGGCGCTTTAAGAAAATAAAAATTACTGAGGGATTCCTTCAAGAAGGACCTATTGTTACTTAAAGTCCTTAGTTTTCTAGAGGCTTCCAAGTTTTAAGTCATTTACCATAAGTACTGCTATGCTTTAAATAGTTTCTGGTTAACTCATTTCTAATATGGGAAAATCCTTGTAGTTCAGTCTTGCTACCTTTTGTTTTTCTTTATACTTGCGATTTTGCTCATGACTTTTCTTCTTAAGATGAAAGTTTGTCGACTCGAGATCCCACGGAATAACATTCTGCCTGACATTCAATTTGTTTTGGAAGTGGAATGGTGTACTGGCAGAAAGAATCAGTCGAATTGAAATACTCAATTTGCGTGCAGAAAAGGACAGGTGAGATTGTAACTAGGTGCATAATCCTCTCTTTGAGGAGCGAGTGGGCCGCCGATTAATTTAAATTTCAAAAGCCGTGGGGGTTTTCGGCCATAGAGAATCTCTTTATCGTAATTCCAAATTCTTAAAAAGGTATCTTCGATTGTTGAATTTCGCCTACGTACGCCCTAAGTCGGCATCCCGCCGAGTGAAGATCACAATTTACTTTTACAAACATTTTTCGACCAAGGAATGAACCGAGGAAGGTATAATCCCATGGGTCTGTGGCCTAGCACCTTGCCACAAAAAACCGTCCAATAATGTATCCTTAATGACTCCAAAACGTGAACAATACTCCAAGCATAAGGTAGGCGAGGAGATTCATAAAAGAGTAAGATCCGCAAGATTTACATCTAATTACTGGAGGGGTAACCCCAACAAAACCCGCATTTTGGTTGGACTTCTGACAGGGCACTGCAGCCTAAGAAAGCACACGCACCGGATAAGAGTGCAAGCAAGAAACACTGTGCAGATACTACCAGGAATAAGAAGGGACTGCAAAACACGTTTTATGTTTTTGTGAGGGTTTATGTAGGTGAGGGTTCCTGCAACTGGTAGGAAAAGTCACAAAATGAAGATCTTACACTAAGGAGCCGCTGACAAGGCTATATAGTTGATTAACAACTTGAAGCTAGCCAATGATTTAAAAAACTTACTGGAGCACACAATTTTTTCTTCTTATTTGCCACTCAATTATGATATCTGTAGTTCAAGGCTTATATTGGGTTGTCCGGAAAATAATGCAGGATTTTGGTATTAAACAAAAAAAAAGAAACTAGTTACTTTAAAGCAATGTTCTTTAATCAAAATAATTTCCCTCAATACATTTCTCCCAACGTGTTGGTAACTTATTAATTCCGTCTGAGTAGAATTCAGAATTTTTAGAATTGATAAAGTCAATAAATGCATTTTCCAGTTCCGTTTGATTTTTGAATATTATGTGTTGTAAGTAGTGGTCCAGGTGTCTAAAAAAATGGTAGTCAGTAGGCGAGAGGTCCGGAGAGTAGGGTGGGTGAGGCAAAGTTTCATAGCCAAGCTCCAATAATTTTTGTGACGTTACACGTGACACATGTGGTCGAGCGTTGTCATGCAACAAAATGGGCCCTTTCCGATTGACCAAAGAGGGCTTCATTACTGCCAATTTCTGATGCATGGTATTAATTTGGTTACAGTATGATTCAGCATTGATGGTTTCGCCAGGATTTAAGAAGCTGTAGTGTATTAAACCAAATGAAGCCCACCATACCGTAACCATTACCTTTTTTTGATGAGTTGGGGGCTTTGGAAAATGTATTGGAGCTTCTCCTTTGTCGAGCCACTGTCCAGAACGTCTAGTGTTATCGTAGAGAATCCACTTTTCGTCACATGTAACAATTCTGGCCAGAAATGGGTCATTTTTGTTTCGACAAAGAAGTGATGCACAAACATCAAAGCGCTGATTTTTTTGGCGATCGTTTAATGAGTGTGGAACCCAATTTTCGAGTTTTTTCACTTTTCCAATCGCCTTGAGGTGGTCAGCGACGGTCGTTTTACTGACTTTGAGTTGCTCTGCAAGTTCTCGAACAGTTGTTTTGGGGTTTTCTTCCACCACTGATCGCAGAACATCATCATTAAGAGAGGAAGGCCTTCCACGACCTTCTTCATCTTCAAGGCTGAAATCTCCCTCCCGAAATTTTTTAAACCACCTTTGCACAGTGCACTCATTAACACAACCCTCGCCCCAGACTTGGTTAATGTTTCTAGCCGTTTGGGCTCCGCTTCGGCCGAGTTTAAACTCGTAAAAGAAAATCGTACGAAATTCTCGCTTTGACATTATAAGGATGACTGAATTATTTCCAAGTAGCGGAATGCTACAGAGGTAAACAAACAATATCATTTGGAAGAGGA